AACATAGGTTATGGTTTGATACATTTTCCAGCCACTGCTTCATCAGACAACTGAACTCAACTTGCTCATTCATATTATGCAACTAGCTCTGCTTCATTAAAGCTGGTACAAAGCCTTTTAACCTGGTCAAAATAATATCTTTGAGCCTTCTTATTGAAGCTACTCTTTGGATTTTATGGGCTACTTATTTATTCTCATTAGATCATCTATTGAGTAATTCAGGCACAATACTTTCTACAACTGAGTTGATGTTTGGACTCACACAGAAGTAAAACTAGAAGAGTTCATCAATATGCTCTATTATCAACCGTGTATTAAAATTAAAGCTACAAACACAAGGAATGCATTAATGTCCAAGGCAGCACAATATTTAAAATGGCACAAGATGTCAGGCATAACATAGGAACAGAAGTTTTTCTTTCAAAATAACAGACAGGCAGACAGACAGACAACCTCCTACACAAAAAATGCCATCACCCCACATACACCTTCGGCACATTGAGTGTATCTCCATTGCGTATGTACAAAGCTGGATGATTTTAACCATGTCGTTACTGCCATATTTACTGCATCTCAGATTTCAAACCCTAGATTTAAATTTAACAATTTTCATAAGGTTTATTACAATAGCATCCACAACACTTTAAATACGTATTAGTCCCTAAATTTATATAACCTTAAGCTGAAGATTCCACATTCTTTTTCAAGCAATTCATTATCTTAGCGATTTCGTGTTTGCTTGGCTTCCAGTTAGTTGGGTATCCTTTGTGGACTATTTAAAATTATTACCTCTCAGCTCTGATTGATCGTCACTTGAAATAGAGTGTTATGTTCTCCAAGCCTGAATCCCTCTGATGGCACAGGCATAGGGCCCTGTAATTAGCATCAATACTCCCCCTCCAGGGCCTGAGTTGAGATATGTGAAGCTATCAACAACCTCCAGCATCACATCTTCAACACTGACAGATGGTAGGGCTCTGATGAGGTCTTAGTAAACCTCAGTCTTAGATCTCAGGTAAGCAGAGTTAGCAGTTTTCTATCAGCTCTGTTATGGCATGAGACATAGTCTCTGTAGTTCATCTAAAGGCAGCAACAAGGAGAAGAATTTGCCAAAGACTACCTGTGCCAGAACATCACCCTGTTTGAACCCACTGCAGACCTCAAAGAATTCCAAAGCTCCGAGGTGTTACAATCATGGAATCATAGAATCCCTACAGTGTGGAAACAGGCCCTTCGGCCCAACAAGTCCACACCGACTCTCAGACTGTCTTGAGGAAACCTGTAAATCAATGCCCACAGCAAGTAGTCAATAACTTTGGAAAGCTCCTCCTCAGGGAGGAGGGTAGAATATTCACAGAGGATTTTTATGTTATGGTGGTAGATTTATCTGTAGATTACAACACAAGGTAGTGTTCCACCCATGTCTCCAACTGTTTATTGCAGTGGGGATTGAACTGTTTTCTTTGTTGATGGACCTGTTCCCATTTTGATCCCATTAAACATCCCCTACAATTCCCTCTGTTCAAGGACGTATCTAAATATCCTGGCAAAATTGTAACCAAAGGTTATTAGTGTATCAGCCAGATTATTGGATAAACACCTCTCAGTGTATTCAGACTCATCTTGCTTACACCTTTCTCATAATTAACGAGGCTGTTTGGATTCAATGATAGGTACTGTCAATGATGTTAGCGACAAACCAGTCAACACTTGTTCACTTCTACTTCTCACAAGTTGAGAGTATGGTATTGTAGATGACGTATCCAAGAGTTCTCCATTTCACTTCTGCACGGTGCGTAGAAATGCTAGAGAAAACGTGTTCAAACTGAGTCACAGCTGGTCTTTAACTGGGTAGACTGCATGACCAACATTGCTACAAGGACAGTATTCTACTTTGAATATAAAAACTTCATTTGCATTGTAAGCCTGGTGCACACCAGGGAATGATCTGTATTACAGTCAGTACAGGGGCTGCTGTGTGTGTTGAGAATGCTATTCAGTAGGTCGTTTGGTGATGCTCAGATCCAGTTGGTGCCAATGCCCTGATCTTAGACACTTCCAGGAAAACCAGTAACATGGTTTGTTCAGAAAGTGGCTACATATCCTGACTACTGTACAACAGGGGCAGTCTTTGTGGGGTAATCTCAGCTTCTGATCCAAAAGCTCTGGGTTGAAGTCCCACTCCAGAATTTGATGGCCGAAGAAGTCATGTTCACACTATGGTGAAATAGATTGAGGGTCAATCCGCAAGTCCTTCCACCATACGCTAATAGTGGGTGGTAAGAACAGGAGAGGCTGCTGGTTAGACACAATGAAGAGAAGTGAGAATCCCGACCATCAATATCCACAGCTCCAGGCTTCAACATTAATGTAAAAGAGTATGTTGCCACAGAAACTTGGGCTCCTTGGTGTGGGGTGGGGTCATGGTTCCTGGGAGCGAGGCGGCTTATCCAGTTGACTGGACAGCCAGAGTGGCTAAGATTGGTGCCAACACCATGGGGTTCACACCCTATTCTGGCTGGAATTGATTCGCGACCTGCCTCTTTGCTATACATATGGTGTGGATCATGGGGCTGAGAATCAAACCTGCCCTCCTGCACAAAACTACAGCACAGGAATATAATAGTGACAAAAATTAAAATATAGGAATGCTCTTACATTTAAATTAGCAAGAATTGAATACTTTCAGTGCTGTAAAGACTTTTCAAAAGTGGAATCAGTTTCATAAGTGACCAGATTTCGTTTTATAGTTAATCGTGAGAAATACGAATAACTTCAAACAATACATTAAAAGCCAACATCCCCATACTCCAGGTGTAATGATCTGCTGAAAGTGCTGTAGAGAGTGAAAAACTTGGCCTATGGGTTTAGATGTCGGTCTCATTCTAAGTATCGACTCAGGTTCGTTAATACAATGGAATTTCTAAACACTCTCCAATTAAATAATATCCTTCCCATAGTAGGGCGACCAGAACTGCATGCAATACTCCAGAAGACACCTCACCTCACCTCACCGCACTGGTACAACCTCAACATATCATGCCAACTCCTCTACTCAAACGTCTAAGCAATGAAGTCAAGTGTGCTAAATGCCTTCTTAACCACCCCGTCTACCTGTACACAAGTAAGCAGAATCGAAGAGTATGTCAAAAGGTAACCAAAAGTGAAAGAGGCACCATGACAGTGATGAGGGCTGAGCGGTAGACCTTGTTTATATGGACTTTAGTAAAGCCTTTGAAAGGTTCCGCATGGTAGACTAATTAGTAAAGTCAGATCACATGGGATTCAGGGTGAGCTTGCCAATTGGATACAAAATTGGCTTGATGGTAGGAGACAGAGGGTGGTGGTGGAGGGCTGTTTTTCAGATTGGAGGCCTGTGACCAGCAGTGTTCCGTAGGGATCAATACTGACTCCACTTTTGTTTGTCATTTATATAAACAATTTGAATGAGAATAGAGGAAACATGGTTAGTAAGTTTCGGGATGACACTAAAATTGGTAGTTTAGTGGACAGTGAAGAAAGTTATCTAAGATTACAAAGAGATCTTGATCAATTGGGACAATGGACTGAGGAGTGACGAATGGAGTTTAATTTGGATAAATGCAAGGTATTGCATTTTGGTAAAAGGAACAGGGGCACAACTTATACAATTAATGGTAAGGCCCTGGGTAGTGTTGTAGAACAGAGTGATCTAGGGATTTGCTACATAATTCTTTGAAATTTGTGTCACATATAGACAGGGTGGTTAAGAATGCAATTAGCATACTGCCTTCATCACTCAGGCCTTTGAGTATAAGATTTGGGATGTCATGTTGAGGTTGTACAGGTGAGGCCTCTTCTGGAGTACTGCATGCAGTTCTGGTCACCCTGCTATTGGAAGGATATTATTAAATTGGAGAGGGTTCAGAAAATATTTACCAGGATGTTGCCGGTAATGGAGAGTTTGAGTTATAAAAATAGGCTGGATAAGCTGATTCATTTTTCACTAGAGCACAGGAGATTCGGGGGTGACCGTATAGGGGTTTATAAAATAATGAGGGGCATAGATAAGGTGAATAGCAAGGGTCTTTTCCCTAGGGTTGGAGAGTTCAACACAAGGAGGCATATTTTTAAGGTGAGAGGAGAAGGTTTTAAAAATGAAATGACGGTAACTTTTTTTTACACAGACAGTGGTTCATGTGTGCAATGAACTTCCAGAGGAAGTGGTAGATGCAGGTGCAGTTACAACATTTAAAAGACATTTGGATAAGTAATCAATAAAAAAGGTTTGGAGGGATATAGGCCAACCGCAGGCAAGTGGGACTGGTTTAGCTTGGGAACATGGTCGGTGTGGAATAGTTGGACCGAAGGATCTGTTTCCATGCTGTATGACTCTATAACTCTATGACTTGATGACACCCTGATGGAAGGACCTCAGAAAATCAAAGAAAAGCTGGAAACTACATTAAAGAGGGTCTTGGCAAAAGTAATTAATCCTTTCTTGTATCCATTATCTTTCCTCAGCCCTCAGCAGGACCTTACTAGTGTGTAGCAAACAGAATTCTCAGGGGAGCCCAGGGATGAATCCTCACCTCAAATCACTGGCAGACACAGAGGCTCCAAGACTGGCCCATTTGCTCCCTTTCCCACATCTCCCCCAAGTCCGGATCCCTTTTACAATTTCCTTTTGCTCTATGCATGGAGCAAGAACCTAGAGAGACTGGATTTCTCCTAAATGTGTACTGACACAGCCTCTCACCTCCCCTTGCTGGTCCCGAGAACATTATTTCTGGATTTACTTTGTTATGAAGCAAAGACTGATGTGTGAACCTTTTTTTTCTTAAAACCATTACTTAACACGAAATTGGAATACGGATTGTGAATTTTTATTATTATGAGCAATTATCACCAATTCATTTTTGCATCATTTTTCTTCACAAGTGGACAGTCCTTTGCTTAAGTATGTTGGGCCCCAGAAATAGAACATGACTGAACAAGGCATCAGTGTAGAGAGTACTTACTGTCCATGCACTGCTGACATTTCGTATCCTCAGCTCCGCACGGGGTAACTACACCTTCCCCCGGAGGGCACATGGAGCAGCATTTCCCATCGTGGGTATATTGCCCACTCTCACAGAACTCCTCGGCATTGTACACAGACACCTTTATCAGAAGAAAAGAAATCAAAAGACATGATATAATGATGCACTTCACAGAATTCACCATTTTTAGGTGTCAGCATATGTCATTAATAGCAGTAAGTCAGGGTAATTCCCAAAATATTCCAAGAAAGAAAATACCGGAGGTGCTCAGGCACATTGGCAGCATTCAGGGCAAGACAGTTCAAGGTTCAGGTTGAATTCTAACAGACGGCCATCGATTGGAAATATTGAACAGAAGTTTGCCTTAGCCAGAGTAGCAAGCTCGGAGGTGAGCTATGGGGAAGAAACCGGGGTGGGGGGAGGGTGGCGGAGGGTGGGGGCCGTGGGGAGCAGTGGTGATCAGCTCAACCAATTCTTTCTTGGCACTGTACAAGGTTTCCAGGTTTGGGCAGGATTGGGTCCCTGGACCAGGGAGTCAGGCAACCATTTACATATTTAAGGCTAAATTAAAAAAACTAAAGAAATGCAGATGCTGGAAATCAGAAACAAAATCAGAAATTGCTGAGAAAAGTTCTCAAGAAGGGTCACTGGGCCCGAAACATTAACCTCTGCTTTCTCTCCACAGACCTGCTGAGATTTTCCCAGGAATTTCTGATTCTATTACACATTTAAGGCCCCAGTTAAGGGTGATTTTCTGGCCTTAAATTGGTCCTTTGCCCCTGGAGCAGTCACCACCATTTCCAGAGGCCGGCAGCTTAACGGAGGCAACCATCCTGCACAGGTAAGGGATGGTGCCTCAGATCTACCCACAGAGGTCATTGGGAGCTCAATCCATTTCACCCCCTTCTAACTCCCCATGGCCAAAATCATCCAAGCAGCCCACTGTCTCCCCAAAGCCCTAACCCAAATATTTATTTATTCTTCTATTACTGTAAGTGACTTCAGGCTGAGGTAGTTTCATCTCTGATCTGCTTCATTAGCATCTACCTCTCCCAGTCAGGCTCCTGAGGCTCTTGGGTAGCCATCCCTCTGAAACCTTTGCCTTTTAAGGCGAAGATAGATTTTTGAGCAGCAAAAGAATTAAGGGTTATGGTGAGCTGGCTGGTAAGTGGAGCGGAGTCCATGAAAAGATCAGCCATGATTTTACTGAATGGTGGAGCAGTCTCGACAGGTCTGATGGTCTACTCCTGCTCCTATTTCTTATATTCTCACGTGGAGCTCCTTAACTGATTTCTGAATGAATTCACCGTATGTTTACTTAACAGTCAAATCGTAACTTTAAAAAGAGACACTTGCGATTTAGCAGAAGAATAAATTATTGTGTTTACAAAGCAACACATTGCTTCAGTTAACATGAGCAGAGCCAAAGGATATTTGTTAGTAATAGACTTTGGAACATTAAATGGGCACAAATTCACCTCAGAACCAGAGCTGCCTGATACAATAATAATTCTCACCATAATGTGCCATCCAAATTACCTTAAGCAATGTCATAATCCTATTTGGCCAGCATGCTGTATTGTATCAGAGGTATGTTGAATGGTTCATGTGATGTTGAGCAAACAGACAATGCTCAGAGTTTGTTGCAGAGTTTCAATACAGCCAGGTGTTATTGTAGGGGCAGCATGGTGCCTCAGTGGTTAGCACTGCTGCCTCACAGTACCAGGGACCTGGGTTCAATTCCACCTTTTCCAAAGAAACATCAGCTTTCTTGCTTCTCTGATGCTGCCTGTCCTGCTGTGTTCATCCAGCTCCACACCTTGTTATCTCATGTGCTAGTGTACTTTTTTAAGCTAATTATATGAGTAGGTAGCTTTGAGTCATAAATTGTGAATTGTAGCCTCACTTTAGGACTTAAATGCCTAACTTACTGACAGGAGTACTGTATTGGTATATTTTATGCTAATTTGGAGATCCTATCTATCTGCACAGCTAAACATAAAAAAAAATGCTTGGCCCTATATGAAGGAGAGTAAAAAGTCATTCCAATCAGTATATCTGCTGTATCTGCCCAGCTATAGAGGGTGTACAACAAAAGTAGTGCATTGGATACGATGTACTTCGAGATTTCGGGATATTAGAAGGCATTCCTCTTTGACATTTTCTGCAAAATTAGTTCTTTGAAAGCCTTTGTCTTATTTTTCCATGGCTGTTGCATGTTACTCAGAGAAAAACTAAGAGACTCAATTGCAAGCAGCCATTCAGCAGCTTTATTTACACCTCCCCAACAGAGGGGGCTGCAGAGGCAGAAGTAATACAAAAAGCTCGGTAATTATGTTATCTTACAATTGGAAATTACAAACTCCGGGGCTACCCTATGATTCAGATCTTTAATGTTCTGTTTATTGCATCAATGAACGTAAACTCTTCATTTTGAAAAGTTACTTTCTCATTTGTCCATGATGTTAAAACTATTCATGAGCAAATGGCATAGCAACCTCTGGCAAGAACCTACTACACAGTTAAATATGAATATCCAAACTGTAGTGATTGGAATGAGGCTGACCAGATGCGTCTCATTGAGAAAGAGATCCCTGATTGGGGCTGTTAACCTGGGCCAATCAGGGAGTCCTGGCTGACTGATATAAACAGGAGTCTCCTTAATCTTAGGGACTGGCTCTAAGCTAGCTGGTCAGAGTCCATGTACTATGCATGTGTAAATAAAGGATGACTTGGTGATGGGATACCAGCCTCCGTGGAGTTACTTCACAAGCATTGCTGTCCAAGTTATGTGGTATTGCTGTTAGCTTTAAGATTTTTTTCTTGTTAGTCTCAGAATGGTGTCATGAAGTTGCTGTATTTGCATGGTAGTTGCATATACAAGCCACTCCAGTATTCAGGCCTAATTATTAGCAGCATAAGCACTCCATTTAACAAGTTAACAATTGTAAATTACTGCCAATCAACATCTCTGGCACAAAAAATTAACTTCTTTAAATATGGAGTCTCATCCTTGGGATCTTGAATTTTGGGAGCTGCTATTTCAAAAATGCAAATTAGATTTTTATCTCCTCTCTGTCAGTACAGGTTTTTATTTCCTTCTCTGTTTTTCTGTATCTAATTTAATGTCGAGTTTATCCACTTTAACTCATCTCTCTTTTCAGTCCTCCTACTGTTTATTTCCTAATCCTTCAGATTAATTTTTGAAGGAGATAACCTGTGCCTCAAAGCCCTTCAATGATATCAGCTGTCTTTGAGATTGTAAAGTCACCAGTGTCCTGCCCTGTTATTAGACAGAGAGGCGTGATGACAGTTTAACCTGAGAGTCAGTATACCTCAGGCAAGGGGAGAAGTTGAGAACGAGAGTCCTTCACGGTAACCTCAGCTGGTGATGTGAATTGATCCCGTGCTGTTGGCACCACTCAACACGATGAACCAGCCTTCCAGCTAAGTCAGCTTACCAACTCCCAAATTTGTGAGATGAATGGTGCAGAGAGGAGTCTGACTAGATATAAATGACTCTATTGCAAAATTTTCATTATTACTCAACTTATACGTAGCTCCAAGCTCCAAGATTTGGATATGTGCACGGAGCAGTAAACTACCTCAAAAACTGATTGGAAAAAAATGAACCCATCACAGCCAAGTAGCAACTGGAAGCAACAAACATGGATTCACTGTGGCAAATGGGCATGGCACTTGCCCCCTCCAAGGATTTCAGTACTCAAGGGGTTTTGCAGGATTTTTCATCAGAATATTGGCCAGAAATTTCAGAGGGAGTTAAGTTGACAGTTTCTTTGTCTGGTTAGTTTTGGAAAGGGGGCTTCTGAGACGTCCCAAATTTTTTTGGTCACACAAATCTGGAATATAAAATTATTCCCAGTAATGGTGATCATGACAATGAGCATAGAATGTCATAAAAACCCATCTGGTTCAATCATTTTCTTTTTAGGGAAAGAAATCTCAAAGTCATCGTTCCCTGGTATGGCCTACATGTGACTCCATGCCACAACAGTATGGTTACCTCAAAACTGAACCTAGCAAGCCACTTAGTTCATGGGTGACAAATGTTGGCCTTGCCAGTGATGGCAAGAAAGAATTTTTTAAAAATCTTCATCTCCACATCTTTCTCCACATATTGGCAAGCACATTCAACGTTCACCTTTAAGGTGCAGCGGGTTATGTACATCACGACTGTCTCAGGGAATACCACCTCCATTCCAGCTGATATTGAGCAACACAGCATTCAGGTGCCCACTCAGCCAGCCATTTTCCTGCACTCCCACATTTGCTTTGTGGGCTGCCTTTCTGTCATTATTTCTTGCTGGTTCTTTGTGCTCTCCCAGCTGTAGCTGCAGTAGAAGCTGCCAATCAATTGAAATGACCTTTAAGTCTTTTTAAAGGTAGTTTCTTCCATGTTGTGTTCTTAAATTGGCTTCACCAATTTTTGATGGCAACCAAGTTAGTGAAAACTAACAACCATCAATAAGTATTTAAACTATGTGCAAAGAGAGGCTTCAGCAAAGCGTCTCTAGAAGCTTCTACACTCAGGTTCCAGTTCTATATGATCTGATATCCCTGATGATGCAGACTGTCAATTATCACATACAGTCGCTATTAATCCCATTCAGGCTGCCCGCTCAGCTTCACCAGTGTTCGGAGGCCAGGAGATCTTCTGTACTCAGCAGTAATACAGGCAAGATAGTTGCTGCTGTCTGTACTACACCAATCCAAGGCCAAGGATTGAGGAGGGACCCAGGTACAGGTGAGTGACATTGGACAGGAGGTCTCAGCTGCACATGCAGGTTGTAGCTTTCAGCGAACTGCCTCCACAAACCCTTTCTGACATAATTCTCTTGATTAGGCAGGAGGTATTTTCAAACAAGGGCTTTCCCACCTCTGGGAGACCACAAGCAAACATGCCAGGATCACAACCAGCAGTGGTGGTATGTGACCTTTAAGTAGGCAGGCCTGGCAATGGGTAAGCCATCCTTCTGCCACTGATTTGATCAGAGTTGTGCCAGGAAAGTGGTAGAGTCCCCCATGGCCCATCTTTCCAGCTGATTTGATGGTCTCCTATACCACAGGGGGAAGGCACTAAATTTCACCCAAATGTAGGCA